TCTTTGACAACTTCGATCTTTTCTCCACTTATCACGGTGTTATTTATTGATTCGGTTTTGAGGACTCTTGTTTTATTTACATTGAAGTGCAATATCATACTGAAGACTGTAGTCTTTGATTTTCATTAGTATTTGAATCACCTGCATTACCTGTATCACCTGCACACCACAGGTTGTTAATTAATCTTCCTCCAATCCTGATGCCACGTTCTTCTTCATATAATCCAGTTTCTCAGATTATTTGCTCAACATACAGATTGAATAAGTATGGTGAACGTATACTGCCCTGGCCACAGGTTTCCTGTTTAAACCATTCAGTAGCCCTTTGTTCTGTTCAAACGACTGCCTCTTGGTATATGGAAAAGTTCCTCATGAGCACTATTATGTGTTCTGCAATACTCATTCTTCACAATGTTATCCATAGTTTATCATGATCCACATAGTTGAAAGCTTTTGCATAATCAGTAAAGCACAAGTAAATGTCTTTCTGCATTCTCTGCTTCCAGCCAAGATCTATCTGATATCAGTAATGATAGCCCTAGTTCTATATCCTCTTCTGAATCCTGCTTGAGTTTTTGGCAGTTGCCTGTCGATGTACTGCTGCAACCCTTTTTAATTATCTTCAGGAAAACTTTACTTGCATGTAATATTAATTATGTTGTTTGATGATATCCACATTCTTTTTGGTCGTCTCTGGAATTGGTGCAAATATGAATCTTTTCCAATCAGTTGGCCAGTTAACTGTCTTCTAAAATTCTTGGCATAGACGAGTGCCTCCAGTGCTGCATCAGAAGTTGAAAGATTTCAGTTTGTATTTGGTCAATTCCAGGTTCCTTACTTTTTGCCAATACCTTTAGTATATCTTGGAATTCTTTCTTCAGTACCATTGTTACTATTGTTAAGTTCTGTTGAATTGTTTCCAACCCATAGCAACCCTATATAGGGTTTCCGAGGCATTGCTGGTGAACTTGAACTTCTGACCTTGTGGTTCAAATGACTTTGCAGACCAACGCATTAACACACAGTGCTGCTCTTGTTAGTATGCTACCTCTTGAAAAGGTTGAACATCGATCATTTCTTTTTTGATACAGTGACTCTGTGCAATCCTCAAGATTAGTGAGCTGAAATCATCTGGTCTTTACCATTTTGAATCAGGAAATCATATGGTTTACTATGCTGGGCATGACAAATTGAAGAGAAATAGTGTTGCATGTGTCATCAAAAAGAATATTTCAAGAACTTTTTAAAGTACAATGCTGTCTGGGATAAGATAATATCCATATGCCTACAAAGAAAACCAGTTAACAACACTATTATTCAAATTTATAGCACCAACCACTAATGCCAGTCATGAAGAAATCAAAGAATTCTACCAACTTCTTCAGTCTGAAATTGATCAAACATGCAATCAATATATATTTATAGTTACTGGTGCTTAGAATGTAAAGGTTGGAAACAAAGAGGGAGGATCAGGAGTTGGAAAATATGGCCTTGGTGATAGAAGTGATGCTGGAGATCACGTTATAGAATTTTGCAAGACAAAGTACATATTCACTGCAAACACCTTTATGAAAAGCTTGGAACTCACCAGATAAAATACACTGGAATCAAATTAACTACATCTGTGGGAAGACAAGATTGAGAAGCTCAATATCATGCCAAAACAAGGCCGGGGAAGACTGTGGAACAGACCATCAATTGCTCATATGCAAGTTCAGTCTGAAGCTGGTGAAAATTAAAACAAGTCCATGAGAGCCAAAATATGACTTGGTCATATCCCACCTGAGAGCCAAAATGTGACCTTGATTATATCTCAATTAATTTAGAGACCATCTCAAGAACAGACTTGATACATTAGACACCAATGACAGAATACCAGAAGAGTTGTGGGATGACATCATGAACATCATACATGAAGAAAGAAAAAAGTCTTTTAAAGGACAAGAAAAAAAGAAAATACCAAAGTGGATATCAGAAAAGACTCTGAAACTTGCTCTTGAGCATATAGAAAATAAAGCAACTGGAAGAAATGAGGACATATAAGAGCTGAAAAGAACATTTCAAAGGGCAGCTCAAGAAGAAAAAGTCATATATTCCAATAAATTGTGCAAAGACCTGGAGTTAGAAAAAAGAGAAGAACACGCTCAGCATTTCTTGAACTGAGATAACTGAAGAAATTTTCAAGCCTTGGATTACAATACTGAACGATTCTATGGACAAAATATTGAATGATGTTTGAAATATCAAAAGAATATAGAAGGAATACACAGAATCACTGTACCAAAAAGAATTAGTAGATGTTCAGTCATTTCAAGAGGTACTATATGATCAAGAACCAATGGCACTGAAGGCATTGGAAAAAACCAAGGCTCCAGGAATTGATGGAATAATAATTGAAATGTTTCAACAAACTGATGCAGCACTGGAGATGCTCACCTTTCTATGCCAAGAATTTGGAAGACTGCTACCTGGCCAACATATGGGAAGTGGTCCATATCTGTGCCCATTCCAAAGAAAAGTGACCCAATGGAATGTGGAAATCATTGAGTAGCATCATTGATACTGTTATTGTTGTTGTTGTGTGCCGTCGAGTCAGTCCAACCCATAGCGACCCTGTATAAGGTTTTGGAGGAGTGGCTGGTGAGTTTGAACCGCAGTCCCGCTCATTAACCCACAGCACCACAGGGAAGTAAAATTTTGTGGAAGGTATTTTTAAAATGGTTACAGAGTACATAAACAGGGAGCTGCCAGATATTCAGGCCAAATTTGAAGAGAACGTGAAACAAAGAATATCATTGCTGACATCAGATTGATCTTGGTTGAAAGCAAAGAATACCAGAGGGATGTTTCATTGTGCTTTATTGACTACGCAAAGACATTAAACTGTGAGGATTATAGCAAACTCTTAATAAAATTGAGACGAACTGGTATGTCAGAATGTGTGAGGAACCTGTTCATAGACCAAGAGGTAGAACAAGGTAATACTGAATGGTTTAAAATCAGGAAAAGTGTTTGCTCAGATTGTGTCCTTTCACCATACTTATTCAGTCTGTATACTGAGCAAATAATCCAAGAAACTGGATTATATGAGGAAGAACATGGCATCAAGATTAGACTCATTAGTATCTTGAAATATGCAGATGATACAACCTTTCTTGCGAAAGTGAAGATGACTTGAATTACTTACTGAGGTATGTAAGTAATTATGAGAGTTTGAAAGAGTGTGAGAGAAAATCTGAGTGTATTTCCAACAAAGAAGCTCAGTTTCTAGTAGTGACTAAAGACACCAGAGATTCAGGGATGGAAATACAAGTTGGCCCTGAGATACCAAAAAGCCTCAGATGTAAAAAGTCTCCATTCTAGGGCCTGCCTGGCTCCAGCAATCTGGAGTTGGTCTGCTTGTGGCCAAAAGATTGTATGTAAAGGACCACTGACACCCCTCCAAGACTAGTGCTGGGAATAAATGATTGTTGGTCTTTTGGAACCTGGAGAAAAATTATCTTTAGTTCAATATATGTTAGTTTGTTTTTGTTTTTTTAATTCAGCTAAAAAGTATTTTTTCTGTTTTTGAAACAAATATGCATTCATTATAAAAAAATAATGAGGAGAATCATAAAGAATAAAGTAAAGATCACTTGTACTTACCAGATAATGTAACATTTCTATGTCTGGCATTAATAGAATGTTACCATTTATCAGGTAGGAGTTGGGAATGCACATTGTTAGGCAATGGTTTTCCTCTGGTCTGCTCCTTCTCTATCCATTTCTTCGACCTTGCTACTGCTACTTTTTGAACTTTGTCTGTATTCTCTCTATTTCAGATGTCAGTCAAATCATGATCACTCTACATTGAGCTCCCCCAGTTATTCTTTAAGCTGGGGGCATATTTCACTATTGGTATTGCAAACACAGTGCAGAAATGGTGTGACTGTGGCAATGGTACTTGGGATCACTCTTTTATTTCCCTCCTGTGTTTTGACTGAGTGGGCAAGTTAGGAAACCAGTTAACTATTCATGTTCACGTCTCAAATGATAACATGCCATGTTGTATCTGAGTAAGGTTAATCTATACACTACAAGAGACCTCTGCTGACAATCATTCCATTAATTTTCACCATAGAAGTACCCTGGTTTCACCATCAAGACCCAGTCTCTTGACAAAAAACACATGGCAAGCCAGAGAAGTTGAGAGGTACTTTGTAAAATAAATGTTAACTTCAATTACCACACCACATCACCCACTTCTGTATAAAGGAAACCTGAGCAATGGTTACAGACACATGAAAATAACAAACACATGTCTGTTCCCTGTTTTAGAATTCTGCTTCTAATTTCAGAGGAGGAAAGTAAAACATACATAAAAAGGACATTGCTCTAACCTTTTTCATTTGATAAGCTTGACCTTTATTTTACCACAGAAGTCAGAACTACTATATACCACAACTCTAATTCTTTACTTTTACTCCTTCCTCCCACCTATCTCCTGCCACTTTCCCAGAAGAATAAAGCTTTCAACATCCTGCTGTCCATTAGCATAAATAAACTCATGCTTTTAGAGTAAAAACATTTTTCATGCTGTATTTGTTAAAGATTGCATTATCATAGAAGATAATAATCTAAAGTAACAAGTCGGCTTTATACTTATGAGACACTGTCATGAATTTATTGAGGTTCCTTGAGACTCAATTATTTTAGTCATAGATTAAAACCTTTGGAGTCAGCACAAGTTACATTTCCATAGATTTGTAAAGAGCATTCTGTAAATTCTTAAATCATGCAGAGTCTCAGGATATGTACCTTTATATTTTAATTTACTCTTCTGCTGCCAGTATGTTGTAGGGAGATCTAAGAAAGGAAGAAACACAAACAAAAATATAAAGTGCCATTTAAATGTAATTTTTTCTCTATGAACCGATGAATAATGTTATTATATATCTCTCCTTGTTTTCTTTTTATATATCTGCTGTTAATTTCAATTTTTTGTAACATTTATGTAATAGATAAGAAAATACTGGGCCAAGAAAGAACAGAAGTGGCAAGAAATGGAAAAGAGAGATACTCAGCGTCTAGAAGAACTGAAGAAATTAATGGCTGAACAGTCAGTGAAAGACAGTAAAAGGTAAAAGAAAAATGTTAAATTGTATGGCAATGAAGGTGGTGAATAGAATCTTTTAAAATGTGTTAGGATAAACAATATTAGAAGGAACAGTTTTCTACATTTAATATACACATACTTATATTCACAAATGATAAAATATTGTATTTTATGCTATCATATTCACACATGAACCTCTAATTTCTCATTTTGTTTCTTAAATAAATGTCTGGTTTAAACCCCAT